GCCAAGTACGGACTGAAACCTCCACTAACTGTAAGCAAAATAAATGTTTCCTTCCTTAATTTTGGGCGTCAGGTATTTTGTCCCAGCAGAGAGAAAAAAGTAACCAAGACACCTGGTTTTTCATATTCTTATGTTTATTTTCTTTTTGTGCTGAGTTTGGAGGTCAAATAGAGTGAAGAGACTTTGCTACTGATATGGATCTCTTTAGTTAGGTCCTGTTCTCCAGCGATGTGACCTTGGCTTTATTTGTTAAGAGGTATTGTCTGTCACTTCACCCTGTTCAGTTTAAGTGGGTTGGACCCAGTCATTGTGTTGTAGGGAGAGGATTTCTACTGATTATAAGAATTTCCATTGACACATTCATACCTCAATCATGAACATTACAATTTGTTTTGACAGTTTTGCCCTTTTATCAGTGTCCCTCGGAGAACATACTAATTGCTATTAGTAGTTAGTCTGTGATATGGAGGGAGAAAGGAAGTAAAGAGGAAGTGGAAAAGGAAGAGGGTGAGTCAGCAAGAGGAGAGGGAGATGGAAGAAATGTTAGCAGGTGAAAAATAGGTCAGAGGTAGGGTACAGCTGGAATTAAGTGTTATTGTTGAGTGTTTAAGAGAATAATCATGGAGGTAGGAAAAGGGATACAGGAGGAGGGAAATTAATTAGAGACTGAGGGAAACTGTATAATTGTCAGAATCTATTAATATATTTATAGTTTTGTTTGGATCCTCTAGGCACAGTTTTGTTAAGGGCCACTGTGACATGGCATGAGTGGTCACCATAGCACTGGCCTGTTCTTATTCTCTTTTGTGTGTATATTGGCATCTGTTACTTGAAAGGTAGATAAGAAGTAAGGGAAGGCAGGCAGGGAGAATGAGGAAGCGTAAAGAAAAAAGAAGAGGAAAAAGAAGGTTAAAAAGAGAAAAGAAGATGGGGAGGAAGGGAATAGGAATAAATGAAAAAACCTAAACAGAAAAGCAAAATAAAAATAATATTGAGAAGGAAATAAGAATCAAAGAAATGAAGAAAGGAAAAAAACAAAACAAATAAACAAGCCACAAAGAGAACCCAGAACAGAGAAACAAGCAAGAAAATAAAAAACCTCTCAGGGCCTATGTACCAAGTAGGCAGAGCGCCATTTCTGCGCTAGTGGGAGTCCCAGGCAGGAAGCTGCTTAACTGTCTTCCGGGCTGCTGTCCTCTCTCCAGACCCACCTCCTGGCTGCAAGCTGTGCCTTGTGCCCGGTCAGCTGCAGGCCTTTGTTCCAGTCTGAAGACCTGACCGCCTCAATCAACAAGGGGATGAGCTATAATTTTCCCAGCACCTGGTTCTCGGTCCTCTTTTGCCAGTGCTTGCCCTCCCACTCCTGCTCCCACTCTACTAGCTGAAGGGTAAATCACACAATAGTTTCAGTGTTCACCCTCCAGGCCCTTCTGCTGCCTGTACCACCAGGTACTTCTACTCCAGGTGACTCCTGTTCTTCCCCACTCAGACCTTTACCCATCCCTGATGGATGAGCTCTGCTTTCCTGCTTGCAGAACTTGGCGTGGCCCCCAGGCTCCGCAAACACACTGCCTGTTTTGCACACATGGGATGGGGGGCAGCAGGTAGGGTTTCCTACCATTGCAGATTATAGACAGCCCTTCCTGGTCCTCATTGTGGCCCAGGAAGTTTATGTTTATAATCCCATGGAAAAGTTATTGGAACCCTCTTGAGTTAATTACAGTCTACCACTTCCAGTGCAACCCATGATGAGACTATAGACACTAAGGCATATTTGTAGTTAGGAGGAGCCAAAGGGTCCTAAGTCCAGCTCCGGTGATGGCTATCTGGAACAAAGGCCTCCACCCCGGGCCAAACCTAGGTTTTATTCATTCATGAGGAAGGGAGTGGCTTGAGGATAAGTGACTGAGAGAATGGCAGGAAGTAGGTGAGTGCTGTGAGCTGGGTAGACAGGAGGCCTGAAATCCCCTCTGCAGTATGTAGAGAAGGATCTGCAGGAAAAGTCATCTGCATGACACAGCTGAGGTAGTATGTGATGTTTTGGGGTCGGGCTTCAGCTCTGATGTGTAATCTTTTATGCCCTGGGAAGTCATAGCCTCATCTCGAAGCTCAATCCCAGCTGACAGCGTGGAGCACAGCTCTCCATCCTGCCTCGGCTCACACGTTTTACTTTATTTGGGAGCTTCCAGGGCTGGGGAAAATCTTTGCTTCAAAGACTACATATCAGCACTTCAGGTGGACCGATTTGCATTGCTTAAAGCCAATCGAAGGGACAAGGTAAAGCCCTAGCCAGCTCTGTACATATCGATACATGGAAATAAAGTCAGGTTTAGTTAAAATGGAGATAAGTGCTCTTCTTTCAAAGTGCTCTTCGTCCAGGTGGTCCTCCGCAGCAGATCTTCCTAATGCTTTTGGGAAAAAAAAAAATCTTTCTAATGTCTGGAGAAAGAAGCCACTGCACCGGCTGTGGTGAGTCTCTCCCCCGTCCCAGTGCCCCCAGGGACTTGACCCGTAGGTACTCGCCAGCAGAGGTAGAGCTGCCCGCAGTTTGTGGTGTTCAGCCTCCCTTTGCCTAGGGTGGGGCCTTCACTTGTCATCGCTGGGTGGTAGGTTCTGGGTGGGACGCTGCAGGGACACAGTGTTCTCTTCGGTAGAATCATGGGAGGGAGGGAGCACCTGCTTTTGCGTTGCTGTCTCTCCCTTTCTCAGTCCGTGGCTCCCCTGGGGTCCCAGCTGCACTTTACTCCTCTGCTGAATTTCTCTTCCTTGTGGGAGGGGCGGAATGCAGGGAGCCTATGCCTGCGGTGCTGTCTGTCCCTCAGGCTGTTAGAACTGCTCCCAAGATGGTGTTTTCTTTGTGTAAATGGCATTGCGGGAAGCTGTGGACTGTGGCAGCCTTGCTTATTTTCAACAACCCAGATATTTGGTTTGATCTGGAGGATTTGTCTTTCAGATTAATTTTGAATATCTGGGTGTGACTGCCTCCCTTGTCTCAGAACACCTATATTATCTTGCCATCTCTCCTCTGAGTTTGTCCAGTGCACTACCTTCTCTAATTGTTCTTGGAATCTGTTGATATATATTTGCATCACTTTTATTTTCTTGACTTATGGTTTTTTTTTTTTGTTTTGTTTTTTTTCTTCTTTTGCATCCTGGGCCATTTTTTTTCCTGAGGCAGGGTCTCGCTATGTAGTTGGGCTGGCCTGGAACTCTCTTATGTAGCCCAGGCTGGCCTTGAACTTCTGGTGATCCTCCTGCCTCAACCTCCGGAGTACTGGGATTACAAGCGTGCACCACCATGCGGGGCTGCTGGGCCATTTTTGATGAAACATTACCTTGTTGATCTTTGTTCTGGGATGAAGCTAAGATGTTTGATAAGGTATTTATAAAATAACATATTTGTGAACAACTGAAACCCTTTGGGTCTTGCTTTTAATATTTGTTCATCAGGACTGGCTCAGCTTTGAGTAGTGTTGATTGTTTCCTGCTGTCAAGTCAAGATTCTTCTGAGTACTTGAAGCCCCTGTGTCGAAGTACCTAATGTGCCCTGAATGTGCAGTTGCCAGCCTTGCTGACAGAAGCAGCACCAGGGACCTGTTGCTTCTAATGACCTCATTTCAGGGCAAAGATGGTTTGGAGTGCAGGGGGAAAAGTGGGAATTCCCTTCCCACGGCTGCGAACATCCACACGTAGAGTACCCAAAATACAAAGCAATAATTTCCCTTAATATTTTAGATAAAACAATGAAATTTCTCTTCCAATAAATACCTTCAGTGAATGCTCTCATTTCATTCTGATTTCCCCAAGTTCAACATCATCACATTTGTGGAGATAGATTGAGATGGATACTTAATCTTTTTTATAATTGCCTTTTTTTTTCTGGTACTAGGAATCGAACTCAGGACCTCATGCTTGGGCCGGGGATATAGCTCAGTGGCATAAGCGCCTGCCTGGCAAGTGCAAGGTCCTGAGTTTGATTGCTGGTACCAGAAAAAAAAAGAGGACCTCATACTTGCCAGGCAGGTGCTGTGCCACTGAGCTAAATCCCTGGCCCCTGATTATATGATTATCTTTTATTTAAGATACAGTTTAGCTTGTTATCAAATTGTAATGTGTTTTCTCTTTTAACAAAGCATATATTTTGCTCTTGAGAAATGTGCTACTTTCTTTGTTGCTGGGACAAAATACCCAACACCCACAGTTCAGGGAAGGAGAGGTTTATTTTAGCGCACAGCTTGTAGAGGTTTCAGTTTGTAGTAGGCCGGCTTCAAAGCAGGGCTGCATGGCAGAGGAGAAGCAGCTCCTCTGCAATGGGAACCAGAAAGAGAGATCAAGGAAGGAGGGAGGTAGGCCGTTCCAGGTCACACCCCAGTGCCCTACCCCCTCCAACCAGACTCCACCTCCAAAATCATATTTAGCTATAAATTCATCAGTGGACTAATCCCTGATGAGTATTATACCCCCATGATCCAATCACCTATCAAAAACCCTACCTATGAGTGTATGAGATTTTGGAGGGACATGTAGATATAAACCATAACAAGAAACATGAGGTTTATTTAATTTTTATTTCATTTGAAAATTGCTTTAGGAATGATACTCAAAGTATAGCTGAAAAAACAATGTATAGTTTTTTTTTTTTTTTAATCAGTTGTTTATAAAGTTAGTACAGCAACAGAGTTAAAAACTTTTGGAGTGACAGGTGTGGGATCCCAGCACTTGGAAGACTGAGGCAGGAGGATCACCATGAGTTTGAGCTACTTAATGAGTTCAAGGCCAGCCTGCACTATAAAGTGAGACCTTGTCTCAAACGAAACAAGACAAAATAAAAATCAAAACACTTTTAGAGTAAGTTAACATCCCAGCACTTTGGAGGTTGAGGCAGGAGGATTGCTGCAAGTTCAAGGCCAATGTGGGCTACTTAGTGAGTTTGAGGCCAGCCTGGACTACATGGTAAGACGCTGTCTCAAAAAAAAAAGTTAATGAATAATTTCACTCATGTTGAATTAATAATAAAATGTTTGCCACTTGTAATTGTATAGTTTTCATTTTTATCCATGCCATTTTCCTCGATCAGTGCTATACTGGATATAAAGCAAGAAACATTTACAAAAAATAATTTTGCAAAACCTAGAAACCCGATTCTTCTCTACAGATTATTTGTGGAACAGCGCCTTTTTGTCATCAGAAACTCTGGTCTTGAAGGCTCATGGGGTCTTAGGCTGAGGGGCTCCTTAATCGGTGGTGTCTGAGGCCACAGATCAGGGCTCACATTGGAGCTTAAAGAAAACTGTTAGGTTTATGGTGCAGAAGAAAAATAAAGGGAAAAGAATGTCTTCACTCCGTACACGAAGAGGAGAGCACTGCGTACAGCACTGGGCTCCTCTGAGGCTCCACGAAGGAGGCTGGGGGAGTTACGAGGATCTGGCTAGGGGCTGAGCTTGAAGGGTGGGCTCAGTGACTTGTTAGGAGCTGATTGGAATTTCTTTGTTCATGCGGGAAGGGCAGGAGGAAGTTGTACTCTGAGCTGGGAAGGACCCTATCAAAAACAAGCTGATATATTCTAGTGCACCATAATTCTCCAGGTCACTTAACGTTTTGCAGATGGAGAGAGCTCCATGCTTCTAAGTCTAAAATAAGGATAGAGCTGCCCAGAGAAAGTGGGCTGGGTGAAGGAAAAGATGTGAGTACCATCTGTCATGTTGTAGAAAGAAATGTCATTGTCCCCATAATCCAAGAACAGCATAATCTTCTGGGGACACTTTTCCACTGAGACACGCTCTTCTAGGGAAACGTTTTTGGAACAATAAGCGAGGGCCTTGTACTCATCTCCTTTCTTCACTAAGACTCTGAAGTTCACTCTTAATGGCTCTTTGGACGGTCCAGTCCCATCCTTGTGCACCTCATAAATGCCTGCAGTCCACTCCTCAGCATTCTCAACGTCCACCTCCCAGTAGTGTCTTTCTGACATGGCATGCTCCTGATCAAGTGTGATGAGGCTGCAGTCTCCTTGCTCATCGCTGAGAAGTAGTTCCTGTGTTTCTTCTCTGTAGTTCTCTTTGTTCTCTGGGTCAGAGCTGTTTGACTGAGTCATTTGGTGTTTTAAAATCACAGGAGCTAAAAGAAGAAGAAAAAGCATATGTAGAATGCATAGCATATATATTATATTTTATATTTGCATATAACTCAGTAGA